CTGAACTTGCAACCTCCATGGAGCAGGCCTCAAACTTTGGTGATACTCGAAAGCTCTACCAACTTATTCGCAAGGCCAGTGGTAAGGCGTCTTCACTGAGTGACTCAGTTCGTGATGTGAATGGCGGCTTTATTGCTGACAACGCGACCAAGATCGAATGCTAGTGTGAGCACTTCGAGTGCCTCCTTAACTTTGATACGGAGTCCACCGCCTCCTGCTACCATCTACAACAGAGCCTCCTCAATCTGTTACTTTTCCAATGTCATGTGACCCGCCTTCTGAAGCAGAATTCGCCGATACCACAGAAAGGCTGTGCAACAATAAGGAACCTGTAAAGGATGGCATACCCGCTGAAATCTATAAGTCTTGTGCCGACATTCTGGCGCCTTGGCTCCACGAGTTGATTGGACAAGCATGGAGAGACGAGGTTGTCCCTGATGACTGGGGCTCAGGCATCCTTGTGCCTGTCCACAAGAAGGGTGATAAGACAAAATGTGGGAATTACCGCCGCATAAGCCTCATCGACATTGCTGCGAAGATCCTCGCTATTGTTCTCGCGGTTCCAGTCTGTGCGCGACTCCAGGACGTGACCCAACAAGGCCGGATTTCGCGCTGGGCGTGGATGTGTGGATCAGATATTCACACTGAGACGGGTCCTTGAATTCCGCCATAGTTACCAACAACCGACAGCCATCTGCTTTGTTGACTTTGCCGGTGCGTTCTACTCCGTCCATCGTGACTCCCTATGGCTAGTAAATGAGAAGTTATTTTCCGAAACAGCTTTCTGGATTTTATCATCAAATGGACTGTGGCCGAACATCCACCACTAGAGCTCAAACGGAGGATTACATGAGACGAAGCATTAATAATTCATCCCTTCACTCGGAATTACTTCTCGATTCTTAATTTTGATTTTCTGATTTTACAATGAACTATCTCTGCATGCAATGAAGTCGACTTATTTTTTCATTTTTACAAAACAGTTTCTACAGTCTTATGCTGTGAATTTTATTAAGCTTACCATTCTACAAATAGCAAAATGCCCTATTTTGTATTCATAGTTCGGAAGGAGGTAATTATTTACCATGTTATCTTGTTGTCATTAAGAAACCTGAAATATCCCCTTTCCTAGTCTCCTGGTGCATGCAGTATATCAGCGATTCACTGGAAATCACGTGTTATGTCTTCTAGTGTCACAGGCTGCTCGAAACGGGGGCACATTTCTTTGCCTTGTTTTAATCTGCTTATTCACTTGAGCCAATTGTGAAAAGCTCGGTTCTGCCAGTACCATTCGAATTCACAATAACAAAAAGCGAAAGGTATACTTAAATAATTCATTTTGTCCAGTTGTTTAAAGATGAGTGGCTGCCGCAATATTCGAACAAAATACGGCACGGGCAAAACTATAGTACACTCCACGTTTTAGGCACCTGAGTAACGACGCTCCACCGGGAGTCGTGTTTATAATCGCATGACAGTTTCATCATGGTGGGGACTCGTAGCTCAGGTGGCTAGAGCGTTAGCTGTACTAGCTCGTTCCTTTTGTTATAATCGGTCTTAAACTTGCTAAGATCCCCGAGTTTTTCACAAGTGCGTCAACTAAATTACCAACATATACCAAAGCATATATTGATAAATGTTATGACTCAAAGGTCTATGCAACCGTAGTGTGGTTGTGCGTATTCGTCTTTGTAACTATACGCGGCTTCTTACACGTTTTCGAGATAAGTTTTTGCACAGGTCAGAGGTCTCCATGCGGAGCTATCTGATTTTATCAGGTGCATGAGGCCGTAATTAAGTCTTCTGCCCAATAGGCCTCAGAACATCCATGAACGTTCATCGACGAAGCTTCCGAATTGTTGGCTTTTCAGCTTCAATAAATTTCGACAAAGTACTATGCGTGACTTTGGCTTGACTTAAAAAGATAATATCAACAGCATGAATGACTAATATATAGCGAAGCTGACAGAAGCAGATGTAGCAAGCTTCTACGCTCTCCCAAAAGTACATAAAACAGAGGCTCCCGTTAGGCTAGTCGCTTCCCCCGAGGCAAACCCGCATACGGAGTTGCAACCTAGTTATTCCATAACCTGAGTTTTCCCCCAGCGCGAGCACAAGCGACGATTCACTCGGTAGAACGCTTTATCGACAAAATAAAGGTGGATACAATTGAAACTGATGAGAAAGTGGTTTTATTCGGTGTTATACCACTCTTCACGCCATTACTACAGGCCACTGCGGCTTGCGTAACCTGATTGCAGCCGTTATTACCGTAGCAAACAAACGCTGTCCAAATAATTTTGCATAGCTGGAGGGCACTTTGTAGATTACTCTGAAAGCATCTCCGACACCTACACGATGATCTGAGTCTAACATGTGCGCTAGAATTGAGCTGTTTGTTTTCTTTATTTGGCCCTTTTCTAATTATATTAGAAGATGTTGTCGTACACTTTCGACAAACGGCGGCTTGTGCGACCAATATTTTTTACCCCACAGGAGCCAGACAATGAATGGATGCACATAGAGGTGATCTGGCCTGACTGTTTGTCCTCGCTCCCTCCGTATATAATGGGAGTAGTCAAAAACATTACATGAGTATGGACTGCCGGAAAGATGTTCAATACAGTTTTATTCAGACGCCTTCGTAGAAGTTCGCTTGGCGCGTCCCCTTTAAATGGGACCCTGCTTTAAATTCGTCTCCTCTCTGCTGTTAGCACTGGGGACTTCGGCGGTCTTTCAGCCATGTACTTTAGTACGATGTTTGGTGTAAAGGGCGAAATAATCTGCTCGACCAATAGCATAGAAGAAAAGCTCCAGTTTCTGGGAGGAGGTTTTTGATAAAAATGAGTATCCTAGTTGCTAAGAACGTGGCTGAAAGACCATGTTAGGCAAGAGATCGTTTCAAGAAACTATTTACAATTTAAGAGTAGTGCAATTGTGATTCCCATGTGGTATTTTAAAAGAAGAAGGGGTATTCACCGGCAGAGGTTTATTATGCATCTGCTGTTTTGTGCAGTGGTTTCGTCTACCTTCACTTTAGAGACTGGAAATTCAGGTTCAGAGCCCTCATTTTATGCCGCTCTTTGCCTTGTGCATAGCCAACCAATACTGTGACGCTGCGTCTTACCTGCATCTTACTGTCACTTGTGTCGCCGCCGCCGCCACCGGCACCACCGCCTCCCACAGTTGGATGACTGCGCCTCACTATGGCTTGTTTCACCCCCGCCCCTGTAAGCCGCGGAGCTAGTTGGCGGCCCGAAGTGTCCCCTGTGAAGAAGCTTCGTGAAACCAGACATGAGCAGGCAAATTAACATGGCGGTTGACTTCTTGGTCGGTAGATAGCTAGGCCTCTTTTGTCTGTTTTGATGTTTGACCATCACCCAGGTCCACATGTTTGACGGTGCCAAAGTTAAGGATGTGTCCCATTTAGGTGACCTCTGACTGTGTCCAACGTCCATACGGTGAACCGATGCATGGGCATCGGCGTTTGTAGCTATCGGTCAGTTTCTCAAACAAAGTCGCATATCCCGCTGTTGCATTAAGGTCGGAAGACAACGGCTGATTTCCCCTGCTTATGAAATAAGGCCTTTTGTCTGCATCGCTTGCTTGCTTTTTGCTAGATTATGCCTGCGGGTAACTCCTCTTCTCTTTTGCGCCAGCTGCTGAGGAAAATTGTCAGTAAGGATGACTTTTATAGCGGCCTAAACGAACAATATGAATAAAAATGCCCTCGCCTCTTACGATAGGTGATCTTGCGATATATTTTGGAAAGGCCAAATATTCCTATGTTCTAACCCTAACACTAACTCCTAAAAAACTAAACCGCCACCATAATCTTAGTCCTAGCCCTACCTTAGATCTAAAACCTTAAGACAACGCAAACCAAAACCCTAACTCTTTTCATAATCCTGACTTTAGGCCTAACCATAAATGTTATCTTAAACTTCACTCCAACCCTCACCTTAATAACATGTCTAATTTTCTCAGAACTTGGCGCAATGCCACGTATACTGCTGGTGGTTTCCGTTCCCATGCCCTTTTTAGGAGACCAGAAAATGTATCCATACCTAAGGGCCAAATAACATAACAGCGATACATCATGCTACAGGTGTCTGTCCGCGTACCTCTTTACCATCAGATAAAAATGCTTAAGTCACAACCCTAGTTGGCGGGAGAGCAAAATTATTCCTGATATTTAAAAAAATGTCCTTCTCATTGGCCCAGAGACTTATTATTGCCCGTTCATCATCCAAGTAGTCATAAGCATATATTATAGCTACAGTATGGCGAGTGCTGCAAGAAACATTCCGCAATTTGTAAAAGACCGGTAATCACTCGCAAAATAACATTGAGTAGGGTTGCAATACTGTTTATCATGCATTCAAAATTTCAATTATTTTCAGTCACGCTAGGATGCCGACTCTGTGATGAGCTTCTTTCTGACCGCTGCAAAAAAGCTGATTCTGTAGAAATGGCTACTGAAATAGTATGCATTTTTATCATTGATTTTGACTGCCTTTCTAAATTCAACGATATTTTATGGAGGGCATGCACGAAAGAATCCTCTCTTGTACTTATTTGATAGCAAAATGCGCCTTCTTTAAATTTTTTTCTTAAAAGAGGGGTTTCCTTCGGTTTTAAAAAATTTCTACTTTTGAGTTTTTACGACTGTGTAGTGTGCATTCATAATACATCGTATCCGTCAATTTATTAATGCTCTCCCTGATATATACAGCATAATCGAGGTCTATTGCGAAATTCTATGAGAGCTGTGCAACCACTTCCTCAAACCGTAGCCGAGAACGTACTTTTCCTTAAACAGGATAAAAATAGCATTCAGTTTGTAAAGCTTGAATTCAGTCATATTAGTCGGTAGGTTTCGGAATCATTCGGCAACTTAGGAACTTTTTTAAAACCGGAGGAAACCCTTCCTTTTAAAATGAAATTTAAAGAAGGCAAATTTTTCTATCAAATGAGTACAAAAGAGGATTTTTTCGTGCATGCTCTCCATAAAATATCGTTGAATTTAGAAAGGCAGTCAAAATCAATGATAAAAATGCATACTATTTCAGTAGCCATTTTCTACAGAATCAGCGTTTTCGCAGCGGTCAAAAAGAAAGCTCATCACAGAGTCGGCATCCTAGCGTGACTGAAAAGAATTGAAATTGGAATTCATGATAAACAGTATTGCAACCTGTTATAACGGTGGCCAAAAGCTGTGATATTCCCGTCTGACTAACGCCTCGTGTGAGCCCCGATGGAAGAACACAACAAGAGTGTATAGAAAGCAGAAGTCTTGGAAAAACCTAGT